CAGTTATTTTACTTAATTATATAGCTAGTAATGTAATAGCTTGCTTTACATTTGCATTACTAAATAAATGTGTTGCATGGCATCTAGCTTCCTTATTTTTAAGTAAATTAAAATTGAGGTTGTCTTAAGAAACTTTCTATATCTTATTTTTAGGTCATTTGTGGTCTCTTTGATTGGAGTTAAAACTGTGTCTATGGTGTGATAGGGTTCTTAAATAGTTTGTAAAGTAGAAAAAGTGCTCTGACACCTGTTTATGTAAGAATTAGGAAAATTTTACTAAATTTTTTCTCAGTGGAAAACATTAATAATTACTTTTCTGGATAAAATGTCAAAGACTCACCATCACATATCCTAATGACAAGAATGTTAACATTATTTAACACAGCATAAGGGCAAAATGACCCTTCTTGGATGTTCTTGTTTTTCATTTAACTAGAGGAGTGGTTTTTCCTCTTTGCAATATTTTTTAGTACTTTTAGATTTTACATTTGATGTTTCTGCTCTCAAAAAAAAATTGTTGGAGGAGTCCAACCACATATTTTAAAAAATTTAAATGTCTGGGGAAAATGACTGCACATAAAGTTGGACATGTTGTATATCTCCCAAGAGTCAGTATAAAGGGATGTGCATATGCATATTCAAGTCAGTTATTTTACTATACTATAGGTACTCTTAAGTTGATAAGGCAAATAAATAATCCAATTATAAAAATTACTTCCATCCTACACAAGTATTGAAAAAAATTATTTCCATTCTAAATGTACATCTAGTTATATTTTTTTAGAAGTATGCAGTTGGTTTTAGTGCATAGGAAGATAATAGATTAGGTGTTGAAAGGTAGAAAAATGGGTTTAAATAGACTTAGCTTATAAGTAGATACTTGAAAGCAGGACGAGATTTCATTAGTTGTTTTTGTGCCCTTTAATCTATCTCCCTAGCTAGTTTCAGTTTTAAACATCGTTTACTTGCTGCATTCAGTTTCCATCAGACTATTTCTCTCTGACTTAAAATTTATAAGGTCAGACTTGGCTTATATACCAGACTCAGGTTGCCAGAAAATAAATAATGCACAATACTTAGCATATTCTCAATATCCTTGTTTAGGGCCAATTAGAGTTAATTTTAATGGTGTCAGAAACTTCAAATTAGAAGGCAGTGATAACTCCTGTAACTAGAAATTTCCAAATGGTGTCTCTGCTCCAGCCCATCACAACAGTTTTAAAACCACTTTTTGTTTTTGTTTTTGTTTTGTTTTGTTGCTTTGTTTTGTTTTTAACAGGAGAGCCAGTGTAACTCCTTCAAGACTGGAGTGACACACACTGCATCTGCATCTGCCTCATGTGAGTTCTCATTTTGGCAGCAGCACTCTGCTAGGCTGGAACCTCTGTAGAGATTTGCCCTTTATTTTTCTATAATCTGTAAGCTACTATACAGTTTGGTGCCCAAGGTAAAAAATGTGTAAGAATCCTAAATTTTCATGCAGAAAGTTTCTACTTACTGCAGAAGAACTTTCCTCTTTAGCAAAAATTCTTATGTAAACAGCATCTATTGAAAACAAAGCTCACAACTTTCATTCTCACAAGAAACTACTTTTGAAGTGCTGGTTTTTCCTCAGATTATGGAGTAAAGATACCTTTTAAACGCTTTCAGTAGTTTCCACTTTCAAAGCTTTGGTTGTTCTCTTTATAGTCTAGTTACATAACCTGAGAACACTGTGTGCTGTCCTAGTGGCTGAAACAGTCCTCTTTTTTGGACTCTGGCCCTTAAAACAATTTCTTCTTTTGTCTTTGGATATTGGCTTAGCTGGGGGCAGGCCTGAGGACCTTCTTGGAGTTAATATGTGAGCTTATATTTACTCTGAAACTGTTGGCTAGGTTTTAGAGCCATGGCAAATCAGTTTTAAAAGTTGAGCTTGGATCTGTGTATCAATTATTTGCACACTTTTGTGAAACAAACAAATTAAAACCTTTACAGCTAGGGAAAGTCCTGAGCTCTATAGAATGAGGTGATAAATAGGCTTCCCTGCAAAATATCTAAGGCTGGCTTTATAGGGTCTGGTTGAGTAAAAAGAAATTTTTGCTTCTTAATCTTTACTTTTTAGTAATAGTAGTACTTTGTAAACTTCAGGAATTTTTTGTAATCAGGCAAGTCAGAATAAATTGTCTATTCCCAAGGGACATTTAGAATAAAATATCTAGACCTCTATTCTACACAGTTGCAATACTGCTTCACCAGCTCTGGTTATATTTTGTATAGCTTACTAGCAGATGATTTAATGACCTGGGAGTATGGGTTACTGAAATGTTTATCCAAAGAGCTTACAAGAAAATGTCAGTAGCTTGTAGATCTTGCTGATTTAATACAGTACTTGACGAAATAGATAGTGTTGTCAAAATGGAACTGGTAAATCTGTTTACACCTTAGACTAACAGTTTATTTTGGACTAGTTGAAAAAAATAGGAGGGAGAATTGTGTGTATCAGTATACAAGCTTAAGTTTTATGGGCCAATGGAAAAGTTCCTAATAGTGGTTATATACCCCACCACAGAGTTTTGGATCATACTTGAGAGAATCCTAAATTTTGGCTTCTGCTTCTGCTTGTATTCAACTTCAAGTCAGCAAATGAGGATGATACATTGTATTTCTGTGAAGTACTTTGAACTTCTTGAGAAAGAGGAACATTTTAAAATATTTATTTCTATAGGTGGAATTTGTAAAATCTTACCAGTTGACCACTTAGGAAGTTCTAGCCTGATAAATACAGGGTGACAAATGTGTAATGTTCCATTTTCTGCTCTTTTAAGGATTTGTGGTAGCAAAATGGGGATGTGAGGCTTTTTCCTTTTTTTCCCAGTAAAAATTCTGAACTTGAGCTTGAGTCCAGAATGTCTGTTAACACAGGTTTCAGTCACCAATTACTCCATTACTGTATAATTACTTGATTCACTACCAAGGGGAAATTGTTAATTTAGGGGTGAGCTTCAGTAAAAGTAATTCAAATACAGCTTTTAATCCCCCTTTCTTAGGATATATTCAGCAAATTATCCTTTTGGAAAAAACTAGAAATTGAAAACATTTTATATGGGCCAGATTCTATAAAAGCAAATGTCAGTAAGTTTCCCCAAATAACTTACCTATACTGGAATTTTATTTCATTAAATATTGTTTGAAATAAATGGAACGTTGGGTCAGAGAAATAATATTTGCTATATGAAAATTTTGTTAAAATGAGACTTAACTGCAATTTTGATGAGAGTATGAGGAAAGAGTAAGCTGAAAGGTGTGAGTTTATATATTCATACTGACTTAAATTGAGATCAGTGGGTTCCAGGTCTTACTGTCAGCAGCTCTTACTGTTAATCTGTGAACATGTATCAACTTCCTTTACCACAGTGTATATTACACAGATTTGGGAATTCTACACTTAGAGGAGGATAAAACAGGAGTTAACGTGAAGAAAGAAATGTGACTACTTTAGAAAATACATCATTATCATTCAATAAAAATGTCTTCTTGTGAAATAGTTGTGAGGAGATGAAACTCATGCATCTCCTAAAGGGGTTAAAAAACAGTTTTAGGCCTGGGTTTTTTAAACCTGATGATGTTTATTAAATAAACTTGAAAGCCCACTGTGCTTTTAAAATTTTTTCAATTGGATTTTTAAAAATAAATACATCAGTGTTACAAGTTTGAAAGTATCTGAAAGTCTTCTCCTCCTCTGTAATGTTGGCCACTGGTTGGATAACAACCAGTGTTACTGGCTTCTTTTATGTATTTCCAAGAAATATTCTAAAAGGTGGCTTCTGAAAAGGAATGGTGAATTATTCTTATTAAAATATTAGCACTAACTTGAATAGACAGACTGATGCAGTGAAACATCAGTTTGAGCTGTAGGTTAAAGACGGTAATAGTGGGTGGAAATTGTAATAATACAATGATGTAGTTACATTATTATGAAACTAAAAGAATTGGATGGATATTTTTTCCTCATTTTGGTGTTTAGAAAACTAGCAGGTCTTTCTCTTTTTCTTTGTAGTGCGTCTTACTCCTAGAAGTTGCTATCCTAAATATTTCATTTGGAAGAAGCATGTTTAAAGGAGCAACATTTTCTTTATGCTGAACTGCAGTGATTACTCTAAAAAGTTTTTGTTTTTAAATTATGGAAAATTTCAGACACAGTAGAAGAGAGAAACCTCTGTACTAGGAAATCCATGTTATTATTTTTTTAACCTGTTCCTTTAGCAGGTAGGAGAAGTGTGTATTCTTATTCACACTTGCACATTCCCACCTGCCACAATTATGTCTCAGTAATAATTCCTCAATGTCTGATTCCCAATTGACATCTAGATTTTCCTGTCACAGACATGTCTTTTTTTTAAAAATCATTTGTTGGCAGTAATACTTGTTTAATATAATTTTGAAGCTTATAACATTGCTAGGACTGATAAGAAAATAGATAAATATGACAGATAGAACAAATCTGCTGATTAGAAGAGTGTTATAAAACAACTTTCAGGCCAAAGAAGAATTCTGGAAAAAATATTGTTGAAAATAATAACAAAAAGAGCTTATTTTGCAGATTGCTACATCATTTGTGTATATCAGGATAGTCTTCAAGAAATACCTATTTCTTTTACCTAGTTTCTCTTTATATATATCCTTATAGTTAAAGTCACAGATGTGCACATTAGGCTTTCCACTTTAGGTGGTAGGGTGGGGGAAAATGTTTAGAACAGTTTCCCCAAAATTGAAAGAAGTGTTGTGAAATGTTTCAGAGTTCTTATGTCTGTTACTCCTGACATAATAGGACTTATTTTTTTCATGCACTTGAGTTAAATTCTCATAATTGAGGGGGGCAATACAGAATGTAGAGTCTGAGGGAAAAGAAGAAAAATGACAGATTGAGGAGAAAGAGGGAATTTGGAAAGAAAAATTCATTTGCCTTCTCTTTTAATGGGCTGTTTTTTATTCTGACTAATGAGAACCTCCTCTTTGTGCAGTATACAAGTCCCCGGAGTATGAATCCCTTGGCTTTGAGCTTACTGTGGAGAGACTAGTTTCTATTGGCTATCCCCAGGAGCTGCTCAGCTTTGCTTATGATTCTACATTCCCAACCAGGTAAAATTTCAAGATTATTTCAGGTTAAGACCATTTCCTCTATTGCCAAAATTATTAATGTTGAATTCATCCCTGACTAAAAACAGAATACACTAAATAATTCTTTGTTGTTTGTGTTCGTATTGATTCTAAAATTACTATGAACTTTCTGTACACAGGTGTAGTACTATTCCATCACCATGAAACCATTATATCTTTTGTACTTTTTTCTGGTTTGTTTTGAGCAAGGTCTCTCTTTGTAGCCCAGGTAGCCCAGGTTGACTTTGAGGTTTTTTGTTGCTGTTGTTGTTCTGAGGCAGGGGGGTTGGTTGTAGGACTTGAACTCAGGGCCTGAGTACTGTCCCTGAGCTTTTTCACTCAAGGCTAGCACTTTACCACTTTAAGCCACAGCACCAGTCTCACAGACTTTGCTGCTTGGATTGGCTTTGAACTGTGATTCTCAGATTTCAGCCTCCTGAGTAGCCACCAGCTACAGTGTGAGCCATCAGCACCTGGCTTTGGCTTTGAACTTTTGATCCTCTGGTCTCTACCTCCCAAGTGCTGTGATTGTAAGCATGTGTCCTTTTTCCTTTTAGCAAGGTTGTGTGTGTGTGTGTGTGTGTGTGTGTGTGTGTGTGTGTGTTTTGTTTTGTTTTGTTTTGGTTTTGTCATGGGGCTTGACCTCTGGGCCTCAGCGCTGTCCCTAAGTGCTCTACCACTTGAGCCACAGTACCACTTCGGGTTTTCTGGTGGTTAATGGGAGATAAGAGTCTCATGGGGGGTTGGGAAGGTGGCTCAGTGGTAGAGTGCTTGCCTTGCATGCCTGAGGCCCTGGGTTCGATTCCTCAGCACAACAAAAGAAAAAAAAGCCGGAAGTGGTGCTGTGGCTCAAGTGGTAGAGTGCTAGCCTTGAGCTGAAGAGCTGAGGAACAGCACCCAGGCCCAGAGTTCAGGCCCCACAACCGGAACCTCCCCCCCCCCCAAAAAAAAAAAGTCTCATGGACTGTCCTGCCCGGATTGGCTTTGAACCGTGATCCTCAGATCTCAGCCTCCTGAATAGCTTGAATTATAGATGTGAGCCCCAGCCTCGGGCTAAGGGTTTGTTTTAATATAATAAGAAAGGAAAAATAGAAAAAGAGAAGCATGTCTTGCTTCCCATGTAGGAAATGGAGTTAAAGATGCAAAAATGGAGGTTCTTTTCTGTAGCTTTTTTGCTCTTTGAGCTGGTAAACACAAGTGGTCATGTCAGTCTAGTAACTCAATCCTTAGACAATAATTTTGTCGTAATAACAATGAGGCCTACCTCAAACACTGGTAACCGTAAGGACTTCCTTTGGTCAGATGAGCCTTTTATTTTTGTCTTTACCCATTTGTTAAGAGTTCTCAGATTTTTACCATTTTAAAAAAGACAGATTTAGGTAGTCTTTTTAAAATCTTCTAACAGAATAATTCGGAAATAAAAAACACAATTACCTTGTCTCCTTATCTCTCTATTCTGCCACATGTCCCCATGAAATGGCTTTGGTTTCTTTTAAGATTAAAAGTAGTATAGAGGATTAATGGTCTGTCATTTATGGTTTCTTCATGCTGAGAATAGACTGTTGGCCATCCCTGGATAAAAAGGGAATCAAAAAAGTCAATTCCCTATCTTATTTAGGAGGAGACTAGGGGAAATTCATTTTGCAGACTTCCACAATCAGAACCAGAACATGATAAGGATCAGAAGATAATCAGGTATTCTTTAGGTTAGGAGTAGTACAGTGAATCTTTTGATTTTGGAGGCTCCATCAATACTGGTTACTGTCTGGATCCCCAGTTTTTGTCACCAGGAATGGATGAGAGCTTCCCAGTGTCCATGAAATACTCATGAATCCTGAGATCCATATAAAAAGAATGTCAGACTGTCTCACAAAAGGATAGGCTCACAAGGTGAAAGTTTAGCATTGATTTTAGAATTAACAGGGTCTTTAAAGGAAGGAGAAATAGAAAAGGAAAGAGAAACATTTCCTTCTCCCCATGCAGGAAATGGTGGTTTAAAAGACTGCTTTTGTGTTCCTGAGTTGGGTTTAGTGTATAGAAAAAATTTAAAGTAGTCGATCACTATGGGTAAGAAAAGACATCCTTAAATGTGGTAAGCAGTAATCATAGATAGCCCAATCTGGCCTTCCTTTGGCTGTTAGAGGGCATTTATATGTTTTGCTAGTATGTGCAACTTGGTAATCAGAGCTTTTTTTTAGTTTGTATTTCTGGACTTGATGGGGAAAATTGAAGATTAAGGAAGATAGTGTTTATTTGAAATTCTGTCATATATGCCCCACATACAGCATCTAATAGAGGGAAATATTAAAGACTAGCTCAGTTTCCAAGGAAATGTAAAGACTATTTTAGAATAATTATCAATTATATCATGAGGAATTAAGAGTTTTGTACCTGTTTGATTGAGTCCTTAATCCCAACAGAAAATATCTGTGATTACTAATGTGTCTAGGATAAGTGTTTTAGTTGCTCTTGAGATTTTTTTTGGATGTGCAATGGGGATTTTTTTAGCTTTTCAGTGCTGGAAATCAAATCCAGAGCTTTACAAGTGCCAAGCAAATGCTCTACCACTGAGCTACAGCCTTAGCCATGGAATTCAATTTTGATATTCTGTTCACTTAATTTACTCTCTGTTATATTGTTTGAGGACATACTGATTTTCTACAAAGGCTGAATTAGATAAAGCTGGTTCATGGTGATTGGTAGTGCCACATCAAATTACTGCTTATGTTACTTAAGCACTATCAATAATGTCTTCCTTTTCATGTAGAGGACTTGTCTTTGACACACTATATGGAAATCTTTTGAAAGTTGATGCCTATGGAAACCTCTTGGTTTGTGCACATGGATTTAACTTCATAAGAGGGTAAGTACAAAGATCCTTAAGCCTCTTCCTAGTATTTTTATTTATTTTATTTATTTTTTTGGCTGGTTGTGGGGCTTTAACTCTGGACTTGGGCGCTGTCCCTCAGCTCTTCAGCTCAAGGCAAGCACTCTACCGCTTGAGCCACAGCGCCACTTCCTGTCTTCTAGTGGTTTATTGGAGATAAGAGTCTCACGGACTTTCCTGCCAGGGCTGACTTTGAACCAGCCATCCTCAGATCTCAGCCTCCTGAGTAGCTAGGATTATAGGCGTGAGCCACCAGCGCCTGGCTACAAATAAACTTTCTTATCCTGCTTTTTATATAAGGATAGATGACATTTGTTAGAGAGAACCCAAACTAACTTACAGACATATTTAGCAATTACTTTTCTTTAAATTCATCTGAAAAAGCTAATCTTGAAACTTGTTTGAAAAAAAAAACAACTGTAGTTTAGATTTGAAATTCTCAGATTTCTCTTCCCCTGCCCCTTTTTATGGCTCTGTCCTTTGAACTCAGGGTCTTATGCTTGCTAGGATGGCCCAGTATCACTGAGCCAATGTGTGTAGTCCTTATTTTCTCCTTTTAAATGTATTGCTCAGGTCGTTATTCAAAAGAGATATGTGTGTGCCAGGCGCTGGTAGCTCATGCCTGTAAACCTAACTACTCTGAGATTCTTATCTCCAATTAACCACCAGAAAACCGGAAGTGGTGCTGTAGCTCTAGTGGTAGAGCATTAGCCTTGAGCTGAAGAGCTTAGGGACAGCGCCCAGGCCCAGAGTTCAAGCTCCATGACCTACAAAGAGAGAGAGAGAGAAGAGAGAGAGAGAGAGGGGAAAGAGGACAGAGAGGAGAGAGAGAAAAAGAGAAAGAGAAAGAGATATGTGTGTAAGAGTTTTTGGAGATGTATGTAATGTTATGTATTTGTCAGTCTTGGGGCTTGAACTGAGGGCCTGAGCACACTGTCCCTGAGCTTTTTTGCTCAAGGCTAGCAGCACTCTACCACTTTGAGCCACCGCTCTACTTCTGGTTTTCTGGGAGTTAAGTGGAGATAAGAGTCTCACAGACTTTCCTGCTCAGGTTGGCTTTTAACTGTGATCCTCAGATCCCCGCCTCCTGAGAAGCTAGGTTTGCCGGTTCTGGAGCTTGAACTCTGTCCCTGAGCTTCTGCTCAAGGCTAGCTCTCTACCACATAAGCTACAGTGCCACTTCCAGCCTTTTCTGAGTAGTTTATTGGAGATGAGAGTCTCACGGACTTTCCTGTCCAGGCTGGCTTTGAACTGCGATCCTCAGATCTCAGTCTTCTGAGTAGCTGGGATTACAGATGTGAGCCAGCAGTGTCTGGCTGCCCAACTGTTCTTAAATTTTTAACAAATATCTTTAAATTTTGGGTAATTTTTGAGCAAAGCATTAGCACATGGGGTTAAAACTACAGAGTTTAGTACCCTAAATACAAAAAAAGGCAGGGTGGTGTTTCCCAATGGTCTCAGCTACTCAGGGAGGCCCTGTATCACTGAGCCTTGTGTGTGGTCAAGGAATTTGATGGTCAGAATCTAGGTTACTTAATATGACCTCATCACCAAAAAACAAGAGGCAGGAAAGTACTGGAATATAGATCAGTGGTAGAATGCTTAAGTAAAAGCTGCTTGCCTCGCTAGCTAGTATCATCTCTAGCACTACAAAAACAAAACCAGAAGCTAGATTCTTAATTTTTAATATTTCCAGTACTGTTACTAATTTGGACTTTTCCACCCTCATAAACAGCAGGTAAAATTTAACACCTACTACTATTCTTGATGAAACATACCAATTTTGTCTTTAAGAATCTCAGTATTGCAATTTGACAACTTGTAGCTTTCTATTTTCTCTACTTACTGTAGTAGGTCAGAACAGCAACTTTGTTTTTCTCACGCTAGTCTTGTATTTAAGATCCTCTTCTCTTACCTCTCAAATGAAGAACTGCAACTTTTAAAACCAAAGTAGATTTTATTAGTGTCTATAATAGTTTCTCTTAATGGGCAAGTAGTAAAAACTTTATATTGTTGTTATTAAATAACAATATCTTTTTTTTATTGCCAGTCCTGGGGCTTGAACTCAGGGCCTGGGCACTGTCCCTGAGCTTCTTTTGCTCAAGGCTAACACTTTACCACTTGAGCCACAGCACCACTACTGGCCTTTTCTGTTGATGTGGTACTGAGGAATCGAACCCAGGGCTTCATGCATTCTAGGCAAGCACTCTACCACTAAGCCAAATTCCCAGCCCAAGAACATTATCTTTTGGCAAGTAATTTTTTTTTTTTTTTGGTTATAGGACTTGAATTCAGGGCCTAGGTACTGTCCCTGCAACTTTTTGTGCTCAAAGCTAGTGAGTGCTCTATCACTTGAGCTACGTCAGTTTTTGAGTGGTTAATTGGAGATAAGAGTCTCACAGAGACTTTTCTGCCCGGGCTGGCTTCGAACCATGATCCTCAGATCCCAGCCTCCAGAGTAGCTACGATTACAGGCATGAGCCACTGGCACCTGGCTTGGCAAGTAATTTTTTAAGAGTCTCAAACTAACTGAAACTAACTGAGCTTCCTTGAAATCTTAAAACAGTGTCTCTCTGACAATTCAATCATCTAATATACTTTGTTCAAATGACTTTACTGACATTAAAGAGACTCAGAGATGTCTTAGATATACTCTGTGAGAATAATGTGAAATAATATACACCTTGACATAAGGGAGTGGTTAGAAGGGATAAATCTGCCTTTCTTTCTTTGCAGTACTGGTATTTGAACTCAGAGCCTTGTGTATTCTACCACTTGAGTCTCTCCCCGGTCCTTTTTATTTTGCTTTACTTCTAGGACAGGGCTTTTTGAATTTTTGCCAGAGGGCTTGGCTTGATCTTCTTACCTAGACTTCTGTCATAGCTGGCATAACAGATAAAAATCACTATGCCTAGTTTATTGGTTGAGATGAGAGTCTCACTAAGTGTTTGCCACAGCTGGTCTAAAACTTTTATTCTCCTGATCTTCACCTCCCAAGTATCTAGGATTATAGATGTGAGCCACCTCTCCTGACTTCCACTTTTCTTTTTCTTTATTTTACAAGGTGATTTTTAAGATTCATGAGCTGGACACTGTGGCTCATGCCTGTAGCTATTCAGGAGGCAGAGATCTCAGGATTGTGGTTCAAAGCCAGCCAGGGCAGGAAAGTCCTGAGACTTTATCTCCAATTAACCACCAGAAAACCGGAAGTGGTGCTTGATAGAGTACTAGCCTTGGGCTGAAGAGCTGAGGTACAGCACCTAGGCCCAGAGTTCAAGTCCCATGACTGAAAAAAAAAATCATGAATATCAGGAAGCAGGATTTAAGCAAAAAATAATTGCTGTAGTATAGTATAAGCTCTTTTATATACAAAGGTCACTGTTCTTAAAATTTTTATTGAAGGCAAGCCAACGTTTTTTTTTAATGCCTGGAAAAGGATTTTGTTGTTAGTGGAAGAGAAAGTAGGGAAGAAAAGAAAAAGAAACAGTTCAGTAAATTAATTGTATTTTATTTATTTTTTAGTAAATTAATTTTAAAACCAAATTTACTAGCTCAAGATTCATAAACCACCTCGCCATAGTATAATTTCAAAGTATTTTCTTTAGGAATATACTTAACAGTATTTTTAAAAATAAGTCATTTATGCTAGGGGCCATGGCTCATACCTATATTTCTAGCTACTCAGAAGGCTGAGATCTGAGTATCACAGTGCAACATAGAAGACATAGAAGCCTGTGAGACTCATCTCCAATTAACCACCAAAAAGCTGGAAGTAGAGCTGTGGCTTAAGTGGTAGAACATCAGCCTTGAGTGAAAAAGCTAATGATCAGCACCCAGGCCCTGAGTTCAAGCCCCAGGACCAACATACACCCCCCCCCCCACACACACACCACATACCACACATGGATTAAATGGTTTGGCTTGCTTATTTGGCTGGCACTCTATCCCATCTCACTGTTTGCTGGTTATTTTGGAGATAAAGTTTCAGAGCCACTGGTCCTGAGTCACTTCCCAGTGACCTTAGTATAAAACATCATCATCTGGGGGCTGGGAAAGTGGCTCAGTGGTAGCATGTTTGCCTTGCATGCATGAGGCCCTGGTTTTGATTTCTCAGCACTGCATAAGCAGAAAAAGCTGGAAGTGGTGCTGTGGCTCAAGTGGTAGTGTTAGCCTTGAGCTGAAGAACTGAGGGACAGTGCTCAGACCCAGAGTTAAGGGCCCACAACCAACCAAAAACAACAACAACAACAACAAAATCTTAATCTTACTGGGGAAAAATAATGGAAGGGTGACATTGTTCAAAAAAGAAACATACTCATTACCTGACAATGTAATGGTAGCCCCTCTGTACAACACATTAATAGTAACAATAAAGTTATTTTTTTGAAACACATCATCATCATTTAACTTTTGTATTCTTCATCCCCCATACCCAGTAAGTTACCTTGGCAATTTTCCTTGAATACTTTTTTTTTTTTGGTGCTAATACTGGGGCTAGTAATCAGGACCTGGTTGCTGTTCCTTAGTTCTTTTGCTCAAGGCTAGCACTCTAACCACTTGAGCCATAGCTTCACTTCTGGCTTTATGGTAGTTAACTAGAGATAAAAGACTCAGACTTTTCTGGTCCATCCAGCTTCAAACCTTGGTACTCACATCTCAGCCTCCTGAGTAGCTAGGATTACAGGCATGAACTGCTGGCATCCAGCTTAAAAATATTTTTTTATGGGTTGGGGATATAAAGGCCGTGGGTTTGATCCCTAGCATTCCAAAAAGAAAAAGAAGAAAAGTACATTTTCCCCCCCTCTGACTCAAGCTAGGACAAGCCCTACAGTTATACTACTGTATAACTACCAATTGATTTCCCATTACTTGAGCTCTGTGTCAGTCGGCTGTCTGCTGAACAAGTTACTCTAAAACTTGGTGGCTTAAAGCAGTGACCATTTAGCTCAATTTTTTTAAATTTTAGCTTGGCAGAATGGTAACATGCCTATAGTCTTAGCACTGGTGAGGCTGAGGCAGGTAAATCACTTTTGAGGTTAGCTTGGATAAGAAATGTACTCATTACCTTGCTCATGTAACTGTAACCCCTCTGTACAGTATTTTCACAATAAAAAACTTATTTTAAAAAAAAAAGAGGACTGGGAAGGTGGCTCAGTGGTAGAGTGCTTGCTTTGCATGCATGAGGCTCTGGGTTTGATTTTTCAGTACCACATAAGCAGAAAAAGTCAGAAATAGTTCTCTGGCTCAAGTGGTAGAGCACTAGCCTTGAGCTGAAGATCTGAGGGACAGCACCCAGGCCCAGAGTTCAGGCCCCACGACCAACCAAAAAATAAAAATTGGGCACTTGGTGGCTCATACTGACAATCCTAGCTACTCAGGAGGCTGAGATCTAAGAATCATAGTTCAAAGCCAACCCAGGCAAGAAAAATCTATGAGATGCTTATCTCCAATTAACCAACAAAAATGCAGAAATAGAGTTGTGGTTCAAGTGTTGACCTTGAGTAAAAAAGCTAAGGGACAGGCCCAGGCCCTAATAAGCCCCTGGTAACAGCATGAAAAAAAAATTTTTTTAAGTTAGCTGGGCAATTCTGGGGTTACTCAGTTAATCCCTATGGTCTCTTTTATGTGTCTGTCTGTGGTTAAGTTGATAGATCAGTTGGCAGCTGATCTAAAGTGGCCTAACTTACATGTCTGGCACTATGCAGCTTTTGGCTAAAATGCCTTCATATTCCTTTTTATCTCCAGCAAACTATCTCACTCTCATTCACAGAGAAATCTCAGGGCTCCAAGTGCAGCAGGAGAGGGCAAATATTTCTACTTGTATCTCAAGTTGCTGTTTATACCTGTATTGCTATTTATATCTATGTTCAAGGATGGAGAAATACAAACTGAGCTTCTAATGGGAGGAGGCACAACGTTGCATTGCAAAGGGACAGGAAGAATTTATGGTAATTTAAAAAATACATCTTATGCTGGGTGCCGGTGGCTCACGCCTGTAATCCTAGCTACTCAGGAGGCTGAGATCTGAGGATCCTAGCTACTCAGGAGGCTGAGATCTGAGGATCGAGGTTCAAAGCCAGCCCTGGGCAGGAAAGTCCGTGAGACTCTTTATCTCCAATAAACCACTCAGAAACCACCGGAAGTGGCGCTGTGGCTCAAGCGGTAGAGAACTCGCCTTGAGCTGAAGAGCACAGGGACAGCGCTCAGGCCCAGAGTTCAAGCCCCACAACAGACCCAACCCTCCCTCCCCCAAAGTACATCTCATTTTCTTTCTCTCATTCTAAAATTGCTACCAACTTAATGTTTTTAGAACTTGGTGAAAGCTTAGTTTAATCCCCCTGCTTAACAACTGTAAGTAGCATCCTGTTATTTTGAAGTATAAGAGCAATAGCATGATTTTTTTCTTGACCCATATTTCCAGCTGTGTTTCTCTCTGTTCCACTTGCTCAACTAAATTTGTACTCGTTTCTGAACTGGTCCAATTAGCCTTTAGGTCCCAACTTATACCACTTATGTGGATCCTTGCTAGATTGTCCTTGCCCCATTCTTAACATTCATTTCCTTCTACCTTTTAAGATAAAAACAGTTTTCCTTAGTGTTTTGTAGCTTTCTTGTAGTGGTTGTGTTGTTGTTGCTTTACGCTGTTCAAATTTTAAGGTATATGACTCATCTACCAGACTAAGAAATTTTTTTTTGGTGGGGGGGGGGGTCTGGTCATGGGGCCTGAACTCTGGGCCTGGGCTCTGTCCCTCAGCTCTTCAGCTCAAGGCTAGCACTCTACCACTTGAGCCACAGCGCCACTTCCAGCTTTTTTTTTTTTTTTTTTTTGCTTATGTGGTGCTGAGGAATCGAACCCAGGGCCTCATGCATGCAAGGCAAGTGCTCTACCACTGAGCCACCTTCCCAGCACAGACTAAGAACTTGAGCTTGCCTCACCTTCATAGCTGCCTACGATTATTTAGTTTTTTGATGCACATAACCATCAGAATATTTGAACTAAATTTGAACAATGAACACTTCCATGATTACCATGTTAATGTTTTGAATGTCAGTTAATTTTTAACCTTTTCTTTCAGGCCAGAAACTAGAGAGCAGTATCCAAATAAATTTATCCAACGAGATGACACTGAACGATTTTATATTCTGAACACATTATTCAATCTACCAGGTAGACTCATTCTATGCTTATATAAACTGATGCTTTCTCTTCTTTCCATGATCATTTATCTTTGCTCAAGGGAGATAATGAAATAAGTTTAAATTATTTCATATCTAGCTTATGAATATCTATTCTTCATTTTTCAGAAACCTACCTGTTGGCCTGCCTAGTAGATTTTTTTACTAATTGTCCCAGATATACGAGGTATGTATATACTATAGTTTCCTTTTTCCAGTTGATTTTTTTAAAAAATTAATGTACAGGGTTTTAGAGAACTGGCCATTGTAGGTCTTTTCTGCTTTTCTGAAGTGAATTTAGTGCTAGTGAGAGATGCCACATTGCCAGCCTGAGAGATGGGACAGCACCAGCAGCTCCATGCAGGCTCTCACCTCCCACACGGCCCCTCTCCTTGCCAGTGTGCTGCAGCCATGTTTGGAAGGGACCACTTCTGATTGGCTTCTCCTGAGAATGAAGACGGCCAGCAGAGGTGCTAATTGTGACAACTGAGTGGGAGGTTTGTGTGATGATTATCTGTCCAAGCAGAATTACACTAAAACCCCCCAACTCATTTCACAGCAGCTACCTAGGAGCCATTCAGTGATGGTAATTTAGTTTCATTCCCAGGCCCAGCAAGATTTCCTTGAGGAATAAATGCTATTTATCTTCCTGAAACCAAAATTTTGCTAAACTTTTAAACCAGCTAGCCTTTCCTTTTGAAGGAATTGTTTAGTACTGCTCAAAGTATAACCATATATGTCAAGAGTTGCTAACTTCTTATCTTGGGCCTTATCCAGCTTCAAGGTATTGGGTGGAAAGCTGAGTCACTAAGCTAAACAGAAAATGGACAGTACCTTTGAACCCAGGGCCAATGTCAAAAAGTCAAAGTGGAAAGAATCTAAATGACCAATTTTAAGTTCTAAGTGTTTCTTTAATGAGAACCTGTTTGTAAAAAGGGACAAGTAAAACAACCTGGTATTTTAGTTTCCATTCAATATAGTATGCTGTCATTTTGTATTTGTTTAAAATTATTGCATTCCATTGAACACTATGGCCATTTGTAATGGCCAAAAATGATTTTCATTAGGGAGTAAATATTTTCATAATTAGCCACAGCCTATATACACAATGTGACCTGGAACCTTTAGGCCCCCCGGGCAACTTATGATACTCATTTTATTTACTCTTTTGGATTCCCTGTCATGTTCTTCTCATTTTTCTGTAGCTGTGAGACAGGATTTAAGGATGGGGACCTCTTCATGTCCTACCGGAGCATGTTCCAGGATGTGAGAGATGCTGTTGACTGGGTTCATTACAAGGTACCTAGAAGCTGCTTCTTTACTGGCTCACAGTCTGGCATTAGCTTTGAAAAGACAAATGGGACAGAATTTTTCTTCTGTTTAAGAAAGTAGGAAGGGAAAGCATGGGACTTGCCCCCTTAGTGATTATTCTGGGATACATTTGCTTCTGTCTGATTGTCCCACCACCCTTTCCTGAGTGGCAAAAGCCCAGCTTCTTGATTCCATTGAGCTTTCATTTTTCAAACTTAGAAGAGATTTTAGAGTATGAAATTGTACTTAAATTATTTATGGATAATAGTTCTTTGTTTTTGTCTTTTTGTTGTTTTGTTTTTGCTGGTCCTGGTGCTTATACTCAGGGCCTAGGTACTGTCCCTGAGCTTTTGTGCTTAAGGCTAGTGTCCTACCACTTCAGCCACAGCTCTGCTTCCAGCTTTTGGTGGTTAATTGGAGATAAGAGTCTCAGGGAATTTCCTGCCCAGGCTGGCTTTGAAATGCATTCATCCAACCTAAGCTTTCTGAGTTGCTACAATTACAAGTATGAAGATTATTGCCTGGGTCATCCTTTGCTTTTTGTTGTTCAAATACTTCTTTCTTGACTAAGAATATTACTACCTAATATTAAATTTATATTTACTACTGGGCACTGGTGTCTCATGTCTGTAATCCTAGCTACTCAGGAGGCTGAGATCTGAGGGACATGGTTCGAAGCCAGCTGAGGCTGGAAAGTCCTTAAGAGTTCTAATCACAAAAAACCAGAAAAGCCGGGCGCTGGTGGTTCACGCCTGTAATCCTAGCTACTCAGGAGGCTGAGATCTGAGGATCACGGTTCAAAGCCAGCCCGGGCAGGAAAGTTCATGAGACTCTTATCTCCAATAAACCACTAGAAAACTGGAAGTAGTGCTGTGGCTCAAGCGGTAGAGCGCTCCCCTTTAGCTGAAGAGCACAAGGACAGCGCCCAAGCCCAGAGTTCAAGCCCCACGACTGACAAAAAACAAATTAAAAAAAAAAAAAAAACACAAAAAACCAGAAGTGATGTTGTGGCTAAAAGGGAGCTCAGGGACAGTGTCCAGGGCCAGATCAAGCACTAGGACTGGCAAAAAAAAAAAAAAATTGTATTTACTATAAATCATGCAAAAAATTATATTTACTATAAACCATATGAAATCTTAATTTCTAAATTAAAATAGAAGTAGTTTCATATTTGAAGATATTTTTCTGTGATTTTAACTTACATTTTCTATTTTGGTAAATAATGTAAATTTGAGTTGATAGTAAATATATTTTTCTTACAAACTAAATATTAAAAAATGACTTTATTCTTTTCTTAGTTCTTTATTTTTTTTTGTAGGGCTCCCTTAAGGAAAAGACAGTTGAAAATCTTGAGAAGTATGTAGTCAAAGATGTAAGTATGAGGGAGAAGTTGATCTGTACAGTTTATTTTACCAATCAAAGAAAAAACTCAAGCATACCTATTTATAGTGACATGGACAAGGAAAGATGTTTCCTTGTGTGGCTTTTCACAGGTATAATCACCCATGATTTTCACCCAGATCATAGGCTGTTTCTCCTGTTTGTTGATAGGCAAGAAGACCCAGAATGTCTTTTTTCCCTTTAGCTCTAATTGTCATAATAGCAGCTCCAAGATTGCTTTGTGGACATCACTATGCTGCGATTACATGTATTATATCATCTACTCTTCCATATAACTCTGTTAGTTATTATTGTTACTTCTGTTTTATAAAGAAATTGGGGAATTACCGATTAAATATCTTGCCCAATGTTATATAGTAAGTAATAAAGCCAAGTTTCTCACTCAGATCTAACCTAGATCATAAGAACTGCACCTAATAGACTAAAAAATATGCATATATATGACTTATTTAACATATCAATAGGGAATAGGGAAGAAAGCTTTAGAGTACCTTAAAAAAGGACAGGAGGTATAGCTCAAGTGGTAGAGTACCTGCCTAGTAAACCCCATTATTGCCCCCCCCCAAAAAAAAGTACCTAAAAAGATCAGTGAAAATCTTGGTAAATTTTTAAAATTAAAGTTAATAGGTGTTTTACATGTTAATTTTTTAGTATAGATTATGTGCAGTTAAGATGCTACTATTAAGGAAAGTTGGATGGAGAATAAAAAGAGTTTGTTTTTATTGCCATATGTGTATATAACATTATTGTAGTAATATGTAGTATATATGAATGTATTTTCACAGCTTTTCTATAAACCAAACACACAGTTCCAAGATGAGATACATTATTTTTCTGTAAAGTAAAAGAAGCAGTGCAGTGAAGGTTTCTTGTTTTTAGTATACTGCCTGTTTTCACCTCCTCTTACAGTTTCTAGAAAGAACTAGAGAGGGTTCAGGAGTATTTGTATAGGAACCTGTTTATTGTGAAATGAGGAAAAGGTGTTTTTCTTTCTAGGCATATCAGGAATTAGACTTGCCTTAATTTATCTACGGGTGGGTATGGACATATGTAGGTTGACTTGTATATATCATTTCATTCTGCAAAGTGTTTTATAAAACCATATTATACACAATCTAGTCATATCTAATAATCTCCATATAGAGATCCACAAATTTGCTAGTTATGTTTACAATCAGCTTCTCCTGATCTCTCACTTAAATCACACACTTCCAGGAAATCACAAGACAATTTAAACTCTTTCCTGAGACAGACTCAAGAAGATAGATAACTGTTGTTAATGATCATATAAGTCTACATGTTATATGTCTGTATTATATGTGTTAATACTTCATTCAAATGGCCTTTTAATCCATAGGCAAATTCTAGTATATGAGTATCCTCAAGGGCCAGTGTAAAAGTATTTAGGGCTGAGTATGGTGGTGCATGCTTGAAATCCCAGCTGCTCAGGAAGCGGAGGTACAAGGTTACAATGTTAGGACAGCCCAGGCAGAAGCCTGAGACTTTATGATCAAGTGATAGAGTGCTTACCTAGCAAGTATGAGGCTCTGAGTTAAAAACCTAGTACTGGGTGGTGGGAGGGCAGAAGTATTTTGTGTTTTATTCATTATCATATTTTATTTCAGGGAAAGCTGCCTTTGCTTCTGAGCCGGATGAATGAAGTAGGGAAAGTATTTCTTGCCACCAACAGTGACTATAAGTATACAGATGTAAGTACTTAATATGCATATTTACTTATACAGAGAAGTTATTTTGGTGTAAAGAACTAAAGGTTCTAAGAAGAGAAGTTTATTAAGCCAGTTGCTAGTGTAGTCCTAGCTGCTCAGGATGCTGAGATCTGAGGATTGTGGTTCAAAGCCAGCCTGGGCAGGAAAGTTAGTGAGACTTTTATCTCTAATAAACTACTCAGAAAAAGCTGGAAGTGGCTCTGTGGCTCAAGTGGTAGAGCACTAGCTTTGAGCACAGAGAGGCTCAGGGACAGTGCTTAGGCCCTGAGTTCAAGCCCCAGGACTGGCCAAAAAAAAAAAAAGTTTATTAAATGAAGGTAGTTTCTTGCTATCTTACTTTGAAAGCAAAATATACAGGATTACGACCATATTGGAATTATTCTAATTTTTAAAATATTTTTTGATTATTTTCTCTGATTCCAAGTTGAAGGTTTTAATTTGAGTGCTATCTAAAACATTTTTGTGATTAAAGTGGCTCTATGTCTTGGAACATCGTATGTGTACATTTGAGAAACTACACTGTTGAGAAGCTACACTGCCATGGGAAGCTCTGCAGGATAGTTGGTAGAAAGCTCTTTTGAACCTTAGCCACTGAAACTTACTACTACTTAACTTTAAACATGACCTTTATGATTAAAACACATGGGAAAACTGGTTTAACTCCTTACTAATTTTTCTGAAACAACTACAAGATAATAGTTCTTGCAAGAAGTTCTGTCCTCCATGGGCTGGGAAGGTGGCTCAGTGGTAGAGCACTTGCCTTGCATGCATGAGGCCCTGGGTTCGATTTCTCAGCACCACATAAGCAAAAAGCAAAAAGCCAGAAGTGGCACTCTGGCTCAAGTGGTAGAGCACTAGCCTTGAGCTGAAGAGCTGAGGGACAGCGCCCAGGCCCAGAGTTCAGGCTACATGACCAGACCCCCCCCCCAAAAAAAAAAAAAAGTTCTGTCCTCCAATTCTCTTTATGTAATACATTATTTCTATGTGAAGTTTTAAGTCTTTTCTATGTCCCTCCTTTACTCTTCCAAGTATGTGTTCTAAGAAAACTTGGGTCATATGAATCAATCTGTACAGAAACATCTGGAAGTATATATTTTCTTGAGAATGTGAGTGTTTTTTTTTTTTTTGTATAATGAGGCATTTATTTTTAGCTTCTACTGGCAAGATTTCATCCACTTTAGAGGAAATAAGAGCACAGTGGATCCTGTATTGAAAAAGACATGCTTTAATAAAAACCTTGTTTGGGTTTTTTTTAGTTATCTTTCTTTTACAAAAGTGATACACAGATTTCATGTTGTTTGTTTTTTCCCCAGAAAATTATGACTTACCTGTTTGATTTCCCACATGGACCCAAGGTAATATAATAGTGACTTATTAGACCATTGCTTTAGTATAATAATGCAGTTAAATCATTCTGGAAAGAAATGGTTAAGGACTCACCTAGAAAATTTGTGGTTTTAAAACCTATTGTCTAATCTTCATTACCATTAGAAGTAACACAGGACTAGTAGAATTTAAATTACTAGCAGTTCAAATACGAGAAATAAAAGAGATACATAGTTTTTAGTGGATAGGCTCTTAATAATTTTATGCCTAAGAAATTCTGTGCAGAATTGTTAAATTTGTATGAGAGTGAATAAAAATTTCAAGTTAAGGAAGTTTGCAGAAACAATTTGAATTTGTATATTCCTGACAATATAGATTGTGCAGTTATTACTGAGAGGAGAAAGCTTCATTCTTGTAATATTTTCAGGAATACCCAGTGTAACTTAGTACATACTTGGAGAATTTTAGTTGTAACCTTTTATGCATAAGCATTACCAAATCTATGTTTTGAAACTACCCCAAATTACAGTGTACCGTGACCTTTAGCTTGTCCTGAAAAGTGTCTGCTGTGATTCCATTTCAGAATGGAAATAATTTTAATGGACATAACTGCTACATTATTGTTGTGTTTACCTTGCAATATGTACTAAAGGCCAATGTTGACCTACAGCAATCATTCTGAGAACAAAAGCAAAGTATGAGCAAACTTGCATGTATTAAAGTGCTGTATAATTCTGTAGTCAATGAATGTTTTTAAAATTAGTATTAGTCATTTATTATTTATACCTGCATGTTTCCAAAAAGATATCACATAATTAGTCATAGGTTTTTATAAATAATGGACTCTTTGTTATGCTTAGTAATTTTAAAATTCCTTTCATTTAACTGAGATTAAATATTGGTGCCTTAAGATGAAAAGTTATCTTTTGGCTTTTGCTGGTTGTCCTTTCCCAGCCTGGGAGCTCCCATCGACCATGGCAGTCCTACTTTGACCTGATCTTGGTGGATGCACGGAAACCACTCTTTTTTGGAGAAGGCACAGTACTACGTCAAGTGGATACTGTAAGTCGAGAGGGTAATAGGGTCTGCTAGCACACTTTCCTCTATGTTTTCTCCTTGCTCTACATCTTTCTTCGTAAGAGGTATTTTACTCACAAGTATTTTTAACTTATGGCCCTCTTTGAGTTTTAAATTAATTTTTAGTCTTAACTGAGGTAGCCTGACACACTGCTAATTGAAAAGAATAGGCACCATTCATTTGGCTGCCTGGTGAAGTAGAAATGTGGGTAGAAACAGTGATAGGATGATAAGGTAATACAAAGTATGTTCTCTTTCACATAGAAAACTGGCAAGCTGAAAATTGGTACCTATACAGGCCCCCTACAGCATGGCATTGTCTATTCAGGAGGTGAGTTGCAGACTTCCCTCTATTTACTGTATTTGTACAATGAGTGTTGTCTTTGCTCAGACCTCATTAATGGAAAATTTGATGTCACCTACTGAATATAGTTCAGTTACCTACTAGTATAATGTGTTAAAGGGAATGAGGTCTTTTTTCATTAAAAGGATCAGCTTTCCCACTTATTCTGCCTACTTGAGGTTTTTTCTCTAGGCTCTGGAATCATTTGAGGAGTTTCTCAGAGAGTTTCCAGGGAACTTATGTGGGTTCAGACACATATTATGTTAGGAGTTAGGAACAGTAGAACAAAAGTCAACTTAGTGAGAGATACATGCTAAAATGTGGTGGCAGTACTTTTGATGGTTATATTCATTAAATCTGAGTACTACTTAGACTTGCTGATTGGTGCTCTTGGTCAGCAGAGTATAGTAAAATGAGTCTTTGTCTTTAAGAAATGTCTATTCCTCACATAAATTATAAGAGTGAAATTAGTCAGAATTTTATAGTTATTGTACTTTGCTGGCTTAAATATGGCAACAGTTCTGCTTTATCATTGTTCATTGTTTTAGGCTCATCTGATACAATCTGTGATCTGTTGGGAGCCAAAGGCAAAGACATTTTGTATATTGGAGATCATATTTTTGGAGACATTTTAAAATCAAAGAAACGGCAAGGGTGGCGAACTTTCTTGGTGATTCCTGAACTTGCACAGGAACTACATGTTTGGACTGACAAAAGTTGTAAGCAACAATTCCTTTTATTTTATAAATCTCTGACTAGTTTATAGCTAAATGTCCAGATTTGAATTGATCCTCTTTGATAAACTATTACTTTGTATTATTGTTACACAAAAGATCAAAGGGTGTTAGGCTGATCCTTTTATATCTTATTCTTCCTACTAGACTATTTAACAATTTTGTACAAGTCCAGAATTTGAAAATGTAAATAAATCTATATCTATCTTCAACTCCTTATATCCCTGAGGATAAATATGGAATGTTAGTATCCTGAGAGATGTTACAATACCAACTAATCTGTGAACTACCACTCTGCTATGCAGTATTTCTCCAATGACATCTAGTAGTCCTGGTCTCTCTGCTCACAGCCCCTATCTGTGATTCTGGGGCAGTAACAGCTCTGAATATTAATCACTTCTTGGTATTTATATTCTCTTCTGAGAAGTAGAGAATGGGGTCATGTTGTATTCTTGAACTGAGCCACATGCATTGTGTGTATGAAGTACATATACTTATTTGAGGTACGGTTATAGATAAATATAAAGGTCTTTGACAGCATTCTCCATCCAGTTCTAGTGAATGTCACAGTGTGGTAAAAAGTTACGGACTAGAAATTTGACCTCCTTCTCCCAAATGGGACTCCTAAACCAGTTAAGGCTGATGAGTCTTAACTGAGGTAGCATGTATATAAAGAAGGTAGAAGTAACAACCTTTCTCAACCAAGGCTTCTCTTCTGAACTATAGAACATAGAAAAGAATTTCTTTTCAGTTACAAAATAAATGGATGCATTGACCCAAATTGAGAAAGGCTACAACATCTTGGAAACATGTAGATGCTAGTTGCTACTATTACTATTGTCTTAGACCATCAGTAGGATAGAGCATTCACATTTTCAACTTTCCACCTTTGAAGTTTTAGAAATCTCGGTGATTTGGCTCTATTTATTGGACTATGACTCTGAGCAGGCCACCTAATTCTCAACCCTTCTTTTTAAAAGGGACTGCCTGCCGGGCACCGGTGACTCACGACTGTAATCCTAGCTACTCAGGAATCTGAGATCTGAGGATCCCAGTTCAAAGCCAGCCTGGGCAGGGAAGTCTGTGAGACTCTTATCTCCAATTAACCACCAGAAGACCGGAAGTGGCTCTGTGGCTCAAGTGGTAGAGTGCTAGTCTTGAGCTGAAGAGCTTAGGGACAGCGCCAGGCAGAGTTCAAGTCCCACAACCGACCCAAAAAAAAGAAAAAGAAAATGGAACTGCCTGCCAGGCACTGGTGACTCATGCCTGTAATCCTAGCTACTCAGGAGGCTGAGATCTGAGGATTGGGGTTGGAATCTAGCCAAGGCAGGAAAGTCCATAAGACTCTTACCTCCATTAAACCACCAAAAAAGCTAGAAGTGGACGTATGGCTCGAGTGATAAAGCATTAGCTTTAATCAAAAGATTAAGGACATCTTCCAAGCTCTGGGTTCAAGCCCCGGGACTAGCAGACACACAAAAAAGGGACTGTCAAAACTTGTTTTGCTGACTGTAGTTGAGACAGAGTAGGAATTGGCATTTTGCAAACTCAGAATTATCATTTAGCTGGAAGGGAAAGTTGTGGTCAGTGTTTGGAGATTATGGTGTTCATTTGCTTGTCACTTCAAATAGGGATATCAGTTGGTTTTCCCTAAGCAAGAGATAGTTTCTGTATACTTGACTATGGCAAGTTAGTCTCAGGCTGTACTCTTTGGTCATAGCTGCAACTTTCTAGTTTAAACACAGGTTAAAAACTGAGTTCTGGCTGGGAAGGTGGCTCAGTGGTAGAATGCTTGCCTTGCATGCGTGAGGCCCTGGGTTCGATTCCTCAGCACTACATCAGCAGAAAAGGCCAGAAGTAGCATTGTGGCTCAAGTGGTAGAGTGTTAGCCTTGAGCTGAAGAGCTGAGGAACAGCGCCCAGGCCCAAGTTCAAGTCTAATGACCAAAAAAACAAAAACAAAAAACAGTCCTTTGATTTGATCTACATAATATATTTTCCTTTCTTTCCCAAATCTTAATAGCACTTTTTGAAGAACTTCAGAGCTTGGATATTTTCTTGGCTGAACTCTACAAGTAAGTGCCTCATAACTAAAATTTTCTTTTTTAAAAAAAATCTACCTTTTTGGAAATAAGTTATGTAAATAAGTTATGTTCTGTCTGGAAATTTTCACTGGATTTTTCTCTTGTCTCTAGGCACCTTGACAGCAGTAGCAATGAACGCCCAGATATTAGTTCCATCCAGAGACGAATTAAGGTACCCAAACAGGGTTTGGGAGGAAACTTGGAAAATCAATTGTTTAAATTATTCTCATATTTCTAATTTTTTTTTCCAGTTCTTAAGCTCAAACTCTGGGCCTGGGCACTATCTCTGAACTTTTATGCTCAAGTCTAGTACTTTAGGGCCATAGCTCCACTTCTGGGCCCCCCCCCCCTAGTTTCATGGAGATAAGAATCTCACAGACTTTCCTTCTTCAGGCTGGCTTCCAACCTTGATCCTCAAATATCAGCCACTCAAGGAGCTAGAATTACATCAGCTTCTGGCCATATTTCCAGTTTTTACGCAGGGACTGGCATATAGCTGGTAAACAAATATTTGTGGAATCAGTTGAAGAATCAATCTTGCTTTCTTTTTCTTTTTTTAGAAAGTAACTCATGACATGGACATGTGCTATGGGATGATGGGAAGCCTGTTTCGTAGTGGCTCCCGGCAGACACTCTTTGCCAGTCAAGTGATGCGTTATGCTGATCTCTATGCTGCATCGTTCATCAACTTGCTGTATTACCCATTCAGCTACCTCTTCAGAGCTGCCCATGTCCTGGTGAGTCAAGTTACTTTGATAATTAAAATGCCCTTTTGCATCAGGATCTACAACAAGCTTTGTAGAATGGCACAAGAAATGATTTGAAAATTCTGTCTTACATTGTACAAAGTATACTTGACAGGTAATACAAGAAAATATGGCCGAAAAATGGGCATTTGTGAACTATAACTTTATTCCCTGAAGTTACACTGAGTGATGAAGACTATTCTCTATTGTTAATACTATTCTGATACCAATATTTCAGAATGAGTTTTTTGGCTGCAAAGTAGAAAATAAGAATCTTTTCTATCCAGTTTTAGGCAATAGTAAATAATCCAGCCACCACTGGGGGGGGGGGGCGGGGAGCAGGTGGGTAAAGTCAGGCAGCTTTGGGTAGTTCTGTCAAGGTATATCCAAATGACTTACCTCTGGTCCACTGAGAGGGATTAGGATTTGGGAAGTACCTATTCACTCTGCCTCTAATCACAAAGCCTCTGGCTTTGTTCTAGATGCCTCATGAGTCAACAGTGGAGCACACACATGTGGATATCAATGAGATGGAGTCCCCCCTTGCCACTCGAAACCGTACATCAGTGGATTTCAAAGATACCGACTATAAGCGGCACCAGTTGACAAGGTCAATTAGTGAGATTAAGCCCCCCAACCTCTTCCCACTGGCTCCCCAGGAAATTACACACTGCCATGATGAAGATGATGATGAAGAAGAGGAGGAGGAAGAATAAGGAGGAAAACAAAACCCTGAACACCCCTTGAACAAGTTCTGGCAGGACTCATAGGAACAAAGGATATCTTTGTTTGGGTTCTGCTGGGGAGGGTGGGGGAGTCCATGAAAGGTATGTCTGGAAAGTTTCTGAAGACTTAAAAATATTCTAATCATAGAGCAATATTTGTTTTAGTTCTGTGTATCTGTATTCTTGGCAGATGGTTTGAAATTGTAACATAGTCTGTATTGGAAGGAAGGGTAAAGTCAGGCTGAACTGCATGCAGTTAGCTCCATAGTGGCTTGTGACACTGTTTCCTTGTCTTTTTTCATCTTTGGTATGTCATAGTGTATCTGTATATACACTAAGGGTGGTGAGAGTTTCACAGTGGAACAAAAAGGATGGTGGGAAGAGGTGATCCAAAAATATTGTGTGTTACAAATTGTGCTACTCCCAAATCCAGCCTTTTCAGTGCATTATACAGTATTGTGTATCAGTGGAGAAATATATTGTTTTCATTATCAAGTGTACTTTCTGTCAAGGTCAAGATTACTTTCATAAGCCTTTGAGTGTACTTGAGCAAGGCTGCTGCTCTGTCGGTGCCTTTGCAGAACTACTCTCTGCTCTAGGGCCATTCTGGAATGGAATGGACTATAAGAATTCTATTTTGAGGCAAAAGACCTTGTCTTTTCTGCATTTTTAAAGTTAATATAAATGCCTGTTATCTAAGTCTTTCTCCTCTGTCCTAAGTCTATAAAGGAATGTAGCTGGAAGAGGACAATGGAGGAACTCTCGACAAAGGAAAAGGAGCAGCCTCCTCCGGACATCTAATTCCTTCGTAGGGGCTGTCATTACAGTTCTTACTTCTTTGTCCTTTAGGGTTGATTGCTTTTGTTTTAAAGTTGAACATTAGAGGATAAGAAGAAAGCTTTATAAGCCAGAAGTTTATACTAAATCAAAAGGCACAGTCAGCGAAAAAAAGTTCACTTTTGAATCCCATAGTGAAATTACTTATTGCTTTGGACAAGAATGAACTATTATTGTACACATTAAGGCAATATAACTGCTTTACCAGTATAGGAAAGTTACTCTAACATTTTAAGCAGCGATATAGATTCTTACTTTAATCTTCAAATATGTTCTTCTATTCCTATTGTCATTGGTTAATAGGAGAGGATAGAGCAGCTTCTCTAGAATTCAATAAAAATACAATATTTCTAATACTAACTTTCACCCCATATAATAGCCATTGGTCTTCAAGTGGGTTGAAATTTGGCTTAGTAACCACAGTTTGACATTGTTTTCTGAAGAGAATTACACATTTTCCAAAATGCTGAACATCTCCAGAACTGTTTTGGTTTAAATGAAATATTCAAGAATTTATATAATCTGATTGTAGATAAATGGCTCCAGAGGTCTTAGAATTTTTTTACAGTTTTGTTTTTAGTATATGGTTATGAGGTGAGGCTTTTTTGAAAAATCATTTTATAGACAGGGAACATAGCCTAGTAACTTAGCCAAGGACACACTGTCTCGTGACTTGAGTATATGTGCTTTTAGCTAATGTCATGATGAGGAACGTACATCCCGACAAGTCTCTATGGGGAATATATGCTCCAGAAAAGTCAGGTTATTAATGCTGTTGCAAATACCAGTTAGATATAATTCCTATTTTAAAATTTCACAGAATATTTAGTCACCTCAGCTCCTACTTCTCATTCAGATAATGTTGCTCAGTATGACACAGTCTTAAGTTTCTTCAAGCCCAAATGATCTCTTACATGGCTTATTACAGCTACAGAACTACCTTATTATTAATAGTACGTGTACATATTTTTCTTTAAAGACTGACATCATGTTTTATTCTCCGCACTTTTTGTATTGTTCCTGAGAGTTTACCAGATAACTGTGTTTTAGAGACAGAGAGATTAAAAAGCACATAATTGGAGGCAGCTATGCCCACCACTATACCAACAATGCCACACACATAGCACACAATTGGAATAAGAATTCCACTACTTGTCAAAGCTTTCATGGACACCACCAAGTAAATTATTAAAGATCTAGGGTTCCATAAGAAGCATTAGACCCAGAGCAGTGTGGTGCTCCTCCTGTCAAAAGTATGTCCAAGAGCAAGCAACTGAGAGTGGCTGCAGTTGGGCTTTTTAAAAGGTAAATTGTGAATTTCCTCTCTGTTTCCAGTAGTTTAAAAAAACTGAACTTAAAACATATACTTTCCATTTTTTTTAACCTGAAGAATTTTAGACCACAAAAAGACATGTCTTCAGAGAACACTTTTTTGGGTATTAAAGCACAATTCATTTACATACCTCACAAAATGCCAGTCACCTCCTTCTTGAGAGCATGTACTGACTAATAGGGACTCTGGTGCACCAAAAAGCTGGCCAGAGGCATAGCTGACATACCCAGGCCCTGCTGTGGGTTCCCAATATAAGAATAGTTGCCCAAAGCCGGGCGCTGGTGGCTCACGCCTGTAATCCTAGCTACTCAGGAGGCTGAGATCTGAGGATCGTGGTTCAAAGCCAGCCCAGGCAGGAGAGACCGTGAGACTTCTATCTCCAATAAACCACCAGAAAACCGGAAGTGGCGCTATAGCTCAAGTGGTAGAGAGCTCACCTTTAGCTGAAGAGCTGAGGGACAGCGCCCAGGCCCAGAGTTCAAGCCCCACGGCCGACAAAAAAA